CATATGCTTCATTAAGCGTCTTCAACAACACTTTCCGATGCTCATTCGAACTTATCAGTAGAGACAAAAGTGAGACCTAAGAGGGGGACTTTTTGAGTTGATCAATTACATCGTAGTCCGAGGTTTTCATCTTTCGGATGAATTCCTCTGCCTCCTCAGCACTGACTGGCTTTTTAAGTGGAGAACGCTTTTGCTTGGTTTTGTTCAATTCTTCCAAATTGAGGTACTTCCTAGACGGGTTTGTTTCATTCACTTCCCCTCATGATTTCTTTTCCTTTGTACGTTACCACTGCTTTGTTGTAGTTCCAGGGGACGGCAGTGGGGTCCTTCATGGGATTCTATGGCGCGCGGCTAATAACCATGGGCTCAGTCAGCCTGAGTGAAATTACCGGCCCGCGCGCCACATAAGTCCCCTTTGGTACGTACATCTTTGGTACCTTAAGCGTGACCTTGCTTTGCTCAAACCTTTTGGGAGGACTCAACATAAGCTGTTCTTTCCTAGGGGCTCTGGGAACATAGAGAATGGCATCTTTAGGAGGTACTGCCCCTGTCTTGGTTTCCACAACCTTTTCTGTGTTTTGAGGAGTTGAGTTGCTCTTCTTCTCATCCTTAGCTTGCTTTGCTGCCGCTTTGGTCTTCTTTTCAACATCGGCAATAGCAATGATAGCTTTCAAAGCTGGATCGAACTCTCTGTACTCACAAATCATCCCAATAACAGGCCTATTATTGTGGGCTGGCAATGGGTTATTGGTTACATTGGGGACCTCCTCATCCCTCAACACTACCCGCTTTTGTTCTATCAGGTTCTCGATCGCTCTCTTAAGGGTCCAGCAATCTTCAGTGTCGTGCCCCTCTGCCCTTGAATGATAAGCGCATCGGGTACCTGGTCGGTACGAGGGTGACTCTAGGTTTTGCCTGTTTGGAGGTACGGGCTGTAACAAACCCATTTGGACCAATTTTGGGAAGAGGCTGGAATATGATTCACCGATGGGTGTGAAGTTAGTTTTTCTGGGTTGTTCACGGGTACGGGCGTTATATGGAAAATTATTTTGTGGTGGACGGGGATTATATGGAGCTTGGTGAGAAGGGTTATCTCTGGGTGGTGGAGCTCGATTCTGATTGTAATGTTGTTGCGTCCGAGCATACGACTGAGCGTTCATTACTGCATAAGGCTGAGAAGTCATGGCATATGCCGCATCTTGGTGAGGGTAGTAATGCTGCAGGGTGCTGGAAGAGGAACCAAAGTAACCTCGAGGTTGACGGGGATTTCTCAGGCTTGAGGCCACCATTGCTACCTCTTCTTTCTTTTTCCGGTTTGATACACCCCTTGATCCACTCTGGATTGCTTGAGAAGTGGCCCTTATAGCCGGCTGGCTCATGATGCGACCCGTCTTCAAACCATTTTCCACCATCTCCCCAATCTTTATGTCTTCTACAAACGGCTTGCCCATGGCTGACATCTTGTTCTGGAAATAATCAGCCTCTTGGGCTTGCAGGAAGACACTAACCATCTCGATCTCATCCATTGGGGGTTTTACCCTGTCCGTTTGCTCGCGCCATTTGATAGCGTATTCTCGGAAGCTTTCTGAAGACTTCTTTTTGAGATTGGACAAAGAGTTTCTATCTGGAACTATGTCCACATTGTACTGGAATTGTCTAACGAAGTCTCGAGCCAAGTTATCCCATATGTGCCAGTGGGAGATGCCCTGGTCCATATACCATTCTAATGCGATTCCAGTTAAGCTCTCTCTGAAGTAAGCCATCAACAGTTCTTCCTTTCCGCCCGCTCCTCTTAACTGATTACA